CTAATATATATATATATATATATATATATATATCAAAATGGGTCTCCACATCAATTGAGTGAAACGACCTAGCCACATTGTCTTCCAACCCTCTTCCGTATCTTTCCTCCTTGATAAAGTTTCACATGGCTCAAGATCAACATACCTCTAACCTTGGTAATTCCCTTTCTCTGGAAACCGTAATCTCTTGTCGCTACTTTTTCTTCTTCCTCCTTTTTTTCCCCTTCCATCCCAAGGGACAATTTCCTCCCCCTTTTTTTCCTTCAAACCCCAATCTTGCCTCTCTTTTTCCTCTCTTCCAGCCCAAGGTGAGACATATTCTTCAAAAGGAAAATGTTTATATAAAATGTCGACCTTATACTATAGAAGTAAAGTACACCTCAAAAACTCACTAGAAAATGTCCTTCTAATGCCGGAAAACCCTCCGATTGATCGTCTCAACCTCAAGATATATGGTGTAGAAAAGAGGATTACAATTTTTTGAAATAGTGCATATTGTAGTGTATCTGAATCGTCCATTTTCAAGATTTGCAAGGGCTCCTAAATCTACTAGATCGAGATGAAAATAGATTTTCAGGCCATCATGGGATTTTCGACACTAAAACAACATCTTTAGGCACCATTTGGAGGTGCGCCTTACTTTGATTGTTTAAGGTGCCAACCTTGTACAAACCTCACTCTTTTTAAAAACCCTAATTTCTCGTCTCTCTTCTTCCTTCTCTTTCAAATCTGATTTGAGGATCCCAAATCCGATTTACCACGTTAAGACTCTAATTCATCTCTCTTATATCTCTTTCTTTATGGATTGGTTTTTTCCCTATCACTTCTCAGACTCTACTTGTTCTATTTAACCCATGTTCTACCCCCCCAACCTCCAAAAAACAAAAATCCCCAAAATAAGGGGGAAAAAAGAAAGTAAAACAAAAAAAAAAGGAAATCCCTCTCTTCATACTTAAGCTTATTGATTTCAAAAATCAGCAACCTACGAACACTTATCATATCTATCAAAAACAAAAAAACAAAAAATCACTTGATATGTCTTTTAGCCATATAGAACCCTTCTTGCAGAGAAAGAGCCCTTCGTCCTATAAATGGGAACCGTGTTTGGGCCTTGAGATTCCATACTGCACCCTCCTTGCAGAGAAAGGGCCTACCCTTTGTTTCTACAAATAGGAATGGTATTTCAGCCTTGAGATTAATAAAAAAGGTATTAATCTCTCTCATCCATTGTCACCTAAACCCTACTCTCTCTCCCGCTCAAGCCCTCTTTCTCTCTCATTTCCATTCCTTTTATCTCCTCAACATTCTTTCCCTTTTGAATCCTACAACCTGATCTCTTCCTTCATAAATGGTCTCATTCTATACTTTTCCTTAAATAAAATGAGAGAATTATGGAACCAAGGTTTCATCAAAATCCATCCCCAGCTAGCCAAAGAATGTCTTGAAAATCCCAGAATTCGCCGAGGCAACAGCAGCCTTATGCTTAGCCAGGCACCCAAAAAGGATAACAAGAAACACTTGAGTTGTTGAGTCTCCTTGTACTCATTTTCGTTGTAATTACGTGTACACAACAATTCAAGGGTGCTTTTTTAACCCGATTTTTGCTCTAACAGTAGAACATCTGGTTTGCAGGGGAGACTTTCATGGCACCTGAGCAGACCCACCAATAAAAATAAAAAAAGAAATCCAAATAACCATAATATGAGTAAGTTTTTACCCCGATCCAAGATTTCAGGTCATCCATACAACATGGAAAGTGCAATGCTCCCAACCCTAGATATATTAGTACATCACGTACAATCTCCAATAGTCAATAGTCTGAAAGAAGCCTCAACAACAAACTCAAATCATATACAAAAACCCAAGTATTGGAGCCATACTACAGCAGAGACACTCCATCTAGACCAATGCAACATCATACCTTTGTCCCAAACAATAATATAAGGACTCCAATGTCTATTAGATCTGATTGTTTGTCAAGCTTCCATGATTCCAATCCCAACCTGCAACAAGAGAATCATTATTGCACTATAAGAAGAACTTGGTATGAATACCATCAAGAAATAACCACCCACCCATCTTCATCCCACAAACTCCTTATATCAAGTGCATATAAATCCATCTATAGTGGTCCCCAATAGCTATCCCAATAAGGGTATAGCTTCAAATACCTTATTGGCTCCCCTTCTTTCTAGGTCTGCTATGACACCACTCTAGGGCACAAGATCAAACCAGCTAACCATTTGAATTGAATCACGCACAGACATAGAAAGGTAAACTCTGTGAGTTGGAAGCTAAGATGCCCAGATACGGACACGGATATAAACAAAATACAGGGAATAGAGAACCTAGAATTTATCGAATTCAATGACATGGATAACTTATTGGTAAATATGTACATTGATTCAAAAAGCGGTTCTCCCAGTGCCCTGAGCGGACCAACTAGGCGGGCTGTCCCTAGGGACCCTAGGAACCCGCCTAGGAGGGCGCCCATGGGACTACGCCCGACTAGGTGAAAAATACCCATTAGGTGGGATACTTTTGGTTTTCTTTTTTTTTTTTGTTTATATCATAAAAAATACATGAATATGCATATTTTGTACAAAATATATACTTAAAAAAGGGTTATTAGACCCCATTTGCCCCCTTTTTAACCTAGGCCGCCCAGATTCTAGGCGGCCGCCTAGGCACTGGGAGGCCTAGACCCCCCAGCCACCTAGGCACTACCCGGCGTTTTTTGGAACAATGAATATGTAAATATCAATTATAGCTCTTACAATACATAAATATATGCATGCAACATATTTTTACAATATATATCATACCATACTACATAGTATTATATTTAAGTCACATAATATATAGTTTCAGCCATATTACTACATTTGTGCCATTCTAGCGAGGCATCAAAGTTTCAACGAGCCTTGAAATCTACAATCCCAAGAGAGCTTCAAATTCTTTTGTTGAAAATTAGATATAAGAATAGGTTGTCGTTACTTTCCTCTTCCTCTTTACAATGATATGCTGATCCAAATCGTAAAAGACTGCCTCTAAGGAGAAAAATCACTCTTATAAGACAAAGA